ATGGGGATGGCACAGAGTCATTGGTTCTGCTCGGGCTGGGGCTGCAGCGCTCTGGGTACCACACAGGGCAGCAAAACCCAACAAAAACTGGGCAAAAACAGCAACTGCAGTGGCTGAACAAATAGCCCAGCCAAACACCAACTTGGAAAAAAATAACCAGCAGCAAAACAGAGGGAAAAGCAGCAAGTGCATCTCCCAGACTCAGAAAATATTTATGATAACGGCTGCAGCAAAATTAATAAGATTTAAAAAGGAACAAGGCATCTCCAGGATCTCTGGGAGGTGGGAAAGGGAGGGCAGCTGGGCACGGGGCAGACGGGGCTGCCCCATCGCCGTCCTCATCCATGGGGCCAGCGGAGGTGGCACTGTCCTGGCGTGGTGACACCGAGGTGTCACCAGGGCTGGCTGAGGCACCCAGAGCAGTGCCCAAGGCCAGGCTGGGCAGTTCTTGGAGCAGCCTGGGACAGTGGAAGGTGTCCCTGCCATGGCAGGGTGGCACTGGCTGGGATTTCAGTCCTTTCCAGCCCCTGTGCCAGGGCGATGCTCACCCCAGTGGATCCTGCACTGCCAGGCACATTCCAGCCCCTCTGGGGCTCATCCCGGAGCTCTCCCATCCCTTGTCCCTCCTGCTGTGCTCTACACCCACAGGTGGCTGTGAGCAAAGGCTCTGCAGGTATGGAATTGTCTGATTGCTGGGGTGAGCTGGATCCTGGGGGAGCAGCTGATGGGGAGCGATGGGGGCTGTGGGGGGGTCCCAGAGGGACGGGGGCACAGCAGGGACACGGAAATGCCCCTCTGGAGATGGGACTGCTCCAACTCCACACTGGCCCAGCTCGGGCCCCTGCCTGCCATCCCCACCTAATCCAAGCCAGGCTGGTCTCCAGGGCACCCGGCTCCTGCAGACTTTCCCCCCTTCCTGCGTGCGTCAGTGAGTTTAGAGCCCAGGTGTGATTTTGCAGACCCTTTTGTCTGAGGTTTAGAAGCAGAATAAGCTTCATTAGCAGAAGGGAGGATTTTCAATAAGTAATAGGTAGGTGCTACCTTGTGAGCCGTCAGCATCGTGCTAAATGACCTGCAAACAATCAGCTCCTCAGCCAGAGAACAGAGCTTTAAACAGCTATTTCTTTAAAAACCTTGGCTTTTAATCGTTATTTCCCAAAAGCTAAAAATCTGAATTAGCCCAAATGTACGGATTATAATTGCTTTGAGGTTTCTGGTTCGTTAGGAGTATTAAACCACCACGCACTCACTAACATGTCTCTCCACCCTCAGGCTCTGTGCAGGTGCCCTGATCCATCCCTGTGCTCCACAGCTGAACCAGGGCTGGGGCCTCTTCTCCAGGCAGCCAGGGACAGGACAGGAGGAGATGGCCT